GCTGTTCATATTGAGTTTTTATCCTCTATACCAAATTTTATGAAGATATTCTCCCCGATAGTGTTTTTATCGTCACTGTTGACCATCTCACCCTTTTGCATTACACAAAAGTTCCTTAAGATCAGTTAACTTTTACATAATGGTTTAATCAAATGTGATACTTTTCATAATTTTTACATAAAACTTAAGGAGTGATATTTTTTTCCCATTTTTGTTGTTAACAAACATATTACATAAGTCTTCCGTGATAATTAAGATACTACATAAATATAATGCAAAAAATTATTCATATGTCAAAAGTGTTGATCATTTCACCCTTTTTCATTACACAAAAGTTCCTTAAGGTCGGTTAACTTTTACATAATTATTTAATGAAATGTGGTAATTTCATAACTTAATTTACTGTTCCTTACGATATTATCGCAAGGCAAGTTTATTTTACTGTTCCTTACGATATTATCGCAAGGCAATGAAGGATTAATTATAGGTGGGTGGTAAGTTTCCCCAATCCCCACGGCTGCTCAATAGGGTTATTTAGAACACTGTTCATGCAAAGGGTTAATCCCATGTAATGAGGTTCACGATAAATTTCAAAGAGTTAATTAATTAATTGTTTCAGTTCATTCCAACTACCAAAATCCACATGCTAAGGGTTAATTAATTGTTTAGGTTCATTCCAAGTACCAAAATCTACGGTTAGGTTTTTAATAATAGTTTCAAAGGGTTAACAAATTAATTGTTTGGGTTGGTACCAACAACCACAATTAGGTTTTCTATATATATGAAAGCATAAGTTAGGAGATAATGTTACCTTTTTTTTTAGCGTGGTGTTGTTCACATTGTGTTTTTATCCTCTATACCAAATTTTAACGAGTGCTGTTCATATTGAGTTTTTATCCTCTATACCAAATTTTATGAAGATATTCTCCCCGATAGTGTTTTTATCGTCACTGTTGACCATCTCACCCTTTTGCATTACACAAAAGTTCCTTAAGATCAGTTAACTTTTACATAATGGTTTAATCAAATGTGATACTTTTCATAATTTTTACATAAAACTTAAGGAGTGATATTTTTTCCCATTTTTGTTGTTAACAAACATATTACATAAGTCTTCCGTGATAATTAAGATACTACATAAATATAATGCAAAAAATTATTCATATGTCAAAAGTGTTGATCATTTCACCCTTTTTCATTACACAAAAGTTCCTTAAGGTCGGTTAACTTTTACATAATTATTTAATCAAATGTGGTAATTTCATAACTTATTTTCTTTTCTATTAGACCACATTTTTAAGGAAGATTTACGTAAACATTATATAATAATTAGTTAAATTATAAAATACATTATCTAAAACTTATGAGAATAGTTATTTCTTTATGTATTGATGAAATAAAACTCATTATGTAAGTCTTTCATAATAATTAAAAAACTACGTAAAACTTATGGAGGGATAGTCATTTCTTAAGTATCAATTAAAGAAACATTTTTTTTCATTTGTTATTGGTCTGAAGATTCGAACCTAAAGTGTGGTGGATTTTATTATCCCCACATTACCAATAGGTCAACCCCTTGGGTTTAATTAAACATATATATTACGCAAGTCTTCCATAATTTAAGTTTTTGTAACATATGTTTGAATTAATATTCATTTATTATTAAGTAAACTGCTCACCATCAATTTGAATTGTATAAATATTTTTTTAATTCAGTAATTTTTTACATAACAGTTTAATCAAGTATAAAACTTTTCATAACTTATTTGTTTTATAATTAGCTAAGTTTAATTAATTATTAAATACACTAATAATCATCTCATCAGCTAGCATTATGCTAATGTATCATAAGGTAGGTTAACTTTCATATAATAGTTTAATTATTTATGATACTTTTCATCATTTGATTTGTTATTAGATCACAAATTACGGAAGATATACATAACAAACATTCTATAATAATAATGTTAATTAAAAATACATCATGTAAGACTATGGAGGGATAACAACCTATTACGTAAGTATTTTTTAATGATTAATACACGAAGCAAAGTTTATGAATGTATCTTACCCAAACAATTTTATGAATTATTTGATTATATTTAATCATTAAATAATTAGATAAGATTTAAATATAATTAATTTCTTACCGCGGTGAAACGCGAGAAAAAAACTAGTATAATTTATATGATATAATTGACCTTTCACGGTAGGCTGTAACAGCCTTGATACATGTTTTGATGCAGTAACCCCCTCCATTACAGACTCCTAACATAACATAAGGATTTAACGCGTAGTTAAGATGGATAAAAGAAAAGTATACATATGACTATTAGTAAAGATACTTTACCTCTTAGGTTAATATCTTATTTTGCACTGAACTATAATCAATTTTGGCATGTGGTTTCAGAAATTAACATATTGGCCTCAATTATATAACATATAGACTCAATTGGCCCAACACATAGTTTGACCGTCAATTTGGATGGTCAACATTCCATGTCATTGTCTCGTCAGCCTAAAAATCATTAAAAAATTCAAATTAACCAAAAATTATCAAATTATTATAGATATTTAAATTACCCAAAAATAAAAAAAATTATATTATATTTTTGAAAGTTATCATTTTCAAATGTCCCAAAAGAATAAACATAAACTTTATTTTATATTTTTAAAATTTTATTTTTTTGGTTCATTTGAAAATAATAAATAATAATAATTAGGAAAATAATTTGAATTTGATTTTTTTAAATAATTTTTAGGCTGACTAGGCAATGACATGGCGTGTTGACTAACGGTCAATGGTGTTGACCGTCCAAATTGACGGTCAAACAATGTGTCGGGCCTATTGAGTCTATATGCGACATAGTTCAGACCATGATGTTAATTTCTGAAACCATGGGCCAAAATTGATTATATGGTCATAGTTAGAGTCAAAATAAGGTATTAACCCTTACCTCTTTGGCTAGTCACAATGTATACAATAAAGGATCTCGAATAGGATCTTCATCGGAAGATGTCCACATATGGACCAACCGAATAACAAAATGTTGTTCATTTATACCTTCACATATGGTAGAATAGGTACCAGACGATTCAATGGATTCTGAATGCATTTGGATCAATTTGACACGCATTAGAATAACAACTATAAAAAAAACAATCACAATTAAATGAATAAATAGATAGGTTAGAGTGCGACTCACCTAAAGGACAACGCGAAAGATCATACTCCTTGGCCATTTGTGTAAACCTCTGTAAGGAACACACGAGTATTATTTTCCTCCTGTCTATACAAATAACAAGAAAAATTATTAGCAATACAGCACAAATAATGATAAATGTGTAGTTTGTAAGACACAAGTTCAACACCAATCTCTTGGTAATAAGGATTAAACGCTATTTAAGTGTCCAATAATGTTTTTTACCAAGAAAAGAAGTGAGACTTGTATGTTGGTATTCTACGTACAGTAAGGAACTAATATTATCAACTGGATTCGATATTATACTGTCTAAGGGCACAAGACTATCAGCAAAAGTCACTGAAGCTCAAGATTACGAAACAGACTCTCCATACCATGGACACTGAACATGACAAGACAACAATTCAGGTACGTAATTTACACAATCCACCATTTTTCAATTGTGAAACTGAAAGGAAATTCATGTGCATACGATAGAAGAAAACCTAAAGGTAAGACTGAACGGCGATGGACAGTGAAGGATATGAAACACCGTTACTCACAAGAAAGAGCACCTCTGAAGCAGATATAAGAGAAATGAAGTCCGGGAAACAAATAGAAAAAATCCGAGATACTCTAATTATTTAATTTTTTTCCCTAAATACAGTACTTATAAACTTATTTCCCAAAATACAGCAGTTTCAACGTCACTGTCTTTGTCTTCGACAGTGATCATGATCACCGATTTAGTCTAAAACAGGGAAGGTATCCCCACTTTTGACAATAACGGGGATTACATCACCGTTTTCGACAACAACGGGGAAGTAATCACCGCTGCTGTCCAAAACGGTGATTGCCTCACCGCTGTTGTGCGAAACGGTGATCACATCATCGCCGTCGTCCAAAACGGTGATAATTGACCACGTTTTAGAGCCCTGGTAGGTGGAAAATTAGGTCACAGCGACCTAGCTATCACCGCTTTGGACAAAAGCGGCGATGTGTTCACCGCAATTGTCCACTGCGGTGATTAGCTGGCATTTTTCCCTATAAATTCCGACCCCCTCTTCCCTCCTGCTGCCTTACAGCAAATTAGTACAAAAATTTGTGTTTTTTTGGTCGTTTTCTCAGCTGGTTTGGAGTTGGTTTACTGCTCAAAAAACTCATCGGGATTCGGTATGTTATAATTATGTATTGTTTACATGTTGATGTGTTAGTAATTATATGTCTGTATTTAGTGAATTGCGGTTATTGAAAAATATATTATGATATATTTAGATTAATTATGATATGATAGATGTTAGTTAGTTAGTTATGAATTTAGATGAATTTGTTTAGTTTTCTCATGATAGATCGGGATTCGGTATATTATAATTATGTATTGTTTACATGTTGATGTGTTAGTAATTATATGTCTGTATTTAGTGAATTGCGGTTATTGGAAAATATGTTATGATATGATAGATGTTAGTTAGTTAGTTATGAATTTAGATGAATTTGTTTAGTTTTCTCATGATAGATTAGGATTCGGTATGTTATAATTATGTATTGTTTACATGTTGATGTGTTAGTAATTATATGTCTGTATTTAGTGAATTGCGGTTATTGGAAAATATGTTATGATATATTTAGATTAATTATGATATGATAGATGTTAGTTAGTTATGAATTTAGATGAATTTGTTTAGTTTTCTCAAGATAGATCAATTAGTTGCGTTTGTTTATGGGTTTGGATGATATTGTTTTTGTATCCCTATGTACTAATTATATACTATACTTAATTATTATAAATTGCAGACATGGGTAAATTTAAGAAGTTTCGGCTTATTATTCGGTGGAATGGTCGGGTGACAAATTCGAACATTGGGATCGACTATGAAAATGGCGAATCCACTATGCTAAAAATTGAGTCGAGATTCTCGTGGCAAGAACTCCATGACATTTGTGCAGAAAGGACTTGTACGGGCGGGCAAAGGAGAGTTGGTCAAATTGCTTACCGCTATCCAAACATGAGTGCTGACGGAATCATGTACGAAAAAGTTGTCATAAATGATGATTACTCTGTCAACATGATGATACAGTTCCTATCTGACAACGGGGTGCGGCTTGCAGAGGTGTATGTCAAGACCGAGCCGGCCGGTGAAACTCATTCTCACCAGTATTCTTGTGATGATGGTTTTGCAGGAGGGTATGGCTGGGGTGGTAGTTCAAGTAACTACGGAGGAGGTACTTCTGCAGGAGGGTATGGCTGGGGTGGTACTTCAAGCAACTACGGAGGAGGTAGTTCTGAAGGAGGTGTTGGGTGGGACGAATACCCGCAACATGCTGAGACTGCCGTCGATATCGTTCAGCCCGACGGGGATCAATGGCCTGCTTGGGGTCCAGAGTGGTTTGACATTGAGAACACCCTTCGATCTGGGCGTACTTCGCATGGCCAAGAAGACGATGTTGGTTATGCTGGTAACGATGACCATCCTAAGTCGAGCTATCCATTCACCTCCAGTGACGATGAAAGTGAGGAAGATTTGAGATCAGTAAGTGAGGAGGAAGATACGGACGATATCGATGACAGAGAGGTGGCGTTCCGTCAGGCAGCAACGCCTTACTACACAGAGGTTCCTGATCAATTTTTATATGGTCAGAACGATGCCCCTGACTTTCGGCCCATGCCCGTGTATAATCCGACTGCTAATTTGGAAGTGGGTATGGCGTTCATTTCGAAAGCTGATGTGCAAGATGCTTTTAGCGAAGAAGCCATGCGGCGTAACTTCGAGTGGAAGGTAAAATATTATGACACCAAACAACTGCATGTCATTTGTAAGAATGCTGGAGAGGGTTGTATGTGGCAACTTCGGGCTGCATATATGAAGAGAAAGGGCGTCTGGGTCATGCAAACAGTAGACAACAACCACAGATGCTCCTCAACCATACTTTCACAAGGTCACCGGCAACTTAAAGCAAAAAAAGTGGCTAGAGCCATTAAGCACCTAATCGAGGCACAACCAGATATCAAGATAAAAGCTATCATGGCCGAGGTGAAGGATCGACATTCCTACACCATAAGGTATAAGAAGGCGTGGCATGGGAAGCAGAAGGCCATGGTTGAGGTCTACGGTGGTTGGGATGACTCGTATGCTTTACTCCCTAGCCTAATGTCCGCAATGTAGGAGTCCAACCCCGGGACAGTTTTCGTGCCGTGGTACAACAACGTACAAACTGAAGATCAAGTTCGAGTGTTGGCTCTCACCCTAGATCAACTTTACTCCCTAGACTAATGTCTTCAATGTTGGCTCTCACCCTTCTTCTGCTCCTTCGTGGGGGCTCTTGTGGGGGTACGATCCTCTCATCATCACGGAATGAAGGTCGGGCCGGAGCAGGCATTGGAGGGTATAATACGACATCCCTCCTTTGCTCTCGGGTACAAGAGAGCAGGTTGTTGAAAAGCCTCACCAAAAAAGATGTCTTCCGCTCATCCATGGTGCGTGCACTCTCGGCAGTGTGCTTGGCCTGTTCCAAACCATCAACCTAATAAATAAATGTACAAAATTATCTAAATTAAATCTGATAATGTTAATTAACATTCTATCTAATATAGGCATGTAATCATACTACAAAAAATTAAGACAAAGAGGGCAAAATGGATTTCACTTACCACTGCGCCCCAAACAGCACCTTGCTTTGATACCCATCTTAGCGTGAATTTCCTATACCACCGCATGTACCCATCGTGGTACCCCATTGGCCTCGTCTCCGGCACCCCTTGGACCACCCACTGATCTCTATTATCCCATATGTTGATGTAGAATTCATGTTTGCGGACCCAATCCTTTTTGCTGTAACGTAGGTCGATGCCGTGGAGCTCCCTGAACCCTTGAGGTGGGGATGCTGGAATTGGTTGCTCCAATCGATATTGCCTCAAAGATCGATCAGGCAGGTGCCATTCCACCATGTGCCAGCAGATTAAGGGCACCTTGCACAACCATGTCTCTTCATCCTCGGGATGTCTAAGACGATGCAACTCAACCACTTCCGGTGGATATGGATCCCATACCGCCTACAATCATTATAGTTCATGGAATTAGTACAAATTATATCCACTCCACCTAAAAAATTGAAATTGATGAAATTTTATATTTTTACCTGGTTCCACCAAGGCTTATCAAGTTCAGCACGATAAAACAGTAAAGAGTGCTCGGGTTGGTGATCGTTTGTATTTGCACCGATCCACCTAATTAAGCAAAAGTACGTATATAAGCAATTTTTAAAGCATAGATGGTTACTTGTTAAGTATCAATTATGGAAGCATCTAAATTGAAATAAAATTCCTTAATTGGTAATAATCTAAATTCGCTCAATACGATTTGGTTAGAATAAATCTAAATTCAGTACTTGGTATATCTAAATTCACTAAAATACTATAATTGCAGACTTAAAATGAATCTAAATTCGCTTACTTGGAATAGATCTAAATTCACTAAAATACTACCATTGCATATCTAAAATAAATTAAACGTAAATTTAACTTACTTGAAACCATATGGGGGATTCGCTACAAATCGTAGCTCATCATCTGGCAACCAGAATTCCCGTGGGTCTCGTGGTGCGAAAAATGGAAGATGCTCCCATGCCCAGAGCTGGACTATGAACATCGCACCACCAGCTTGTTTCGCTCCCAACCTCGAGTAAGTACACAACTCTCGGTAGATCCCAGCCAAGACGGCCGACCCCCAACTTTTTTCCCCGATCTCGTCCCAGTCACCGAGGAGCATATGTAACCACATGCCTTGTATCCACCGGTTTGCCTTGTCGGGGAACAGAAACCCACCAACCAAGCCAATTAGGTAGACACGTGCATACCGCTCCACCTGATCTTCAGGAGTGTCCGAGCCTATATTAACCTCCTCCTGGATGTGTTCAACAAGCCACGGGATCGATACTTGCCCCGCATTCAGTGGTGGATGCCCAACCCCTTCGACGGGCGTGGTGGTCGGCATGTTGAACCCCAAACTCTCTTGAATCAACGGCCCCCAACCATCTTTCGGTTTTCTCGAGTTGTCGATGGTGGCATCTCCGGTGAATGGGAGCCCGGTGAGGATGGCAACTTTGAGGGTGATCGTCATTTCACCCTCGGGAAAGTGGAAGGTATGCAGCTCGGGGCGCCATCGCTCTGCCATTGCCGTCAGCAAATCGTTGTCAATATCAAGCCTCACGAAGTGCCTCAGCATGTGCAATCCCGTCCTCTCTAGATAGGGCGCCAGTCGAGCATGCCAACGGGGCAATCGACATGTCCCTCGATAACTGATGGGAATAAGTGATTCCTACAAAACAATAAACAAAATGTTGTCAGTCAATAATAGAAAGCGAAATAAAAACTTTAAAACTAATGAAATAATTTTAGTGTCTACCGGATTATTGTTTCAAATTGCACGGGTACGATGTTGATCTTGCCCAGTTAAATACCTTCGATCCCTTGGGCCAGGATCGATATACAATCGAGGGTCGTATATCTCAGCACCCATCTATAAAAAAATATGAAATCAAATCAATTTATATTTTAGCACATATGTAAAAAAAATCACAAAAGAATAAAATAAATTTACGTAGTCTCAGAGCCTCTTCGTCCATTTTTTGCTGAAAAGCTAGCGAGAGTATCGACAAAACAAAAACTCTAGTAATTCTTTCTTATGCGGAAGATCGGACTTAGCCGCAACCACAGAGCATACTTAGAATGAAACTAGAGTGAAGTAAAGGAAGGAGAAAGAAGTATAAAATTTTCGTGTGGTTTGGAATGAGAGGGGGGGGGGGGGGGAGTGGTATTTATAGGGGGAAAGGGGCGCTGGAAATTTCCAGGAACCAATCACCGCTTTCGTCGAAAGAAGTGAAGTCACCGCGTTGGAGGAAGGCAGTGAAGGCTCGGATCGCTGACGTGGCGACCTGTGAGGCGTCGGATCGTGGAGAAATACCACAATCCGCGCCTCACCACATCTAACGGCAGCGGTGAAGGGCGCGGACGACAAGGATCGCTGATGTGGCGGGGCGGGGCTGTCACCTCTTTTCTCTTTGGCGGAAAAGTGCCCCCGCGCGTCCACGTCAGCGATCCGCGTCCACTTCACCGTTTTCTCCATCAACGGTCAGCATTGCTTCACCGTTTCCCTTATCAACGGTGAGACAATCACTGCTTTTGCCTAACTCGGGGATTGCTTCACGGTTTTTGTCCAAAACGGTGATAGCATCACTGTTTTAGTTAAAAGCGGTGATGCAATCACCGTTCTGGACAAAAACGGTGATTGTAAATCACTGTTTTGGACAAAAACGGTTGTAATCACTGTCTTACTCTTCAACAGTGATGTTGAAACTGCTGTATTTTGGGAAATAAGTTTATAAGTATTGTATTTAGGGAATTTTTTTTTTAATAATTAGAGTATTCTGGGATTTTTTCCGAAACAAATACTGGAATCTATTAGAATAAGTGATGCTTTATTTTATGCTTCAGTTTACTATTATACTTTTTGTCACAGTGTTATTAAAGCCGAGCCGAGCCGCTCGGTCCGACCGGTAAAACCGCCACCTGGTCATAAAACCGACTCGAAACAGTCTAAAAGCCGCTCCGATTTTATGTAGCGGTTAGCGAGCGGCCCAGGCGGTTAACCGTTCGAGCCGATTGAGCCGCTGATCCGGTTTTTGTCATTCAGGCACTAAATTTAATTAAAAAAATTGCAGAAAATTGAAAATTGAAATAAATAAAAAAACTTAGGGCTCTCAAACTGAATCCTTATTTCCATTTCACAATTTCGAAGGAAAGAGATGAGCTTTGATTAATAAATGTCCACTATTTATACTGATAACGTTTATTAGGTACCGGTTCTCTAACGGTTTTTAAACGGTCTAATGCCGGTTGGACCACTTAAGTGCGAGCCGTTCGCATTGTCGGATAATGCTCCGATTTAATTATGATAATTGACATATTCTCATTAAAGAATATTTCTTTTCTTACAAAAGAAAAATGAACATTCGTTTGACTTCGATGCCATTTTAAATGTTTATATTACATAATTTTTCTACCAGGCCCCCCGGTAATATGATGTGGAAGCTACTCGTGTGTATGCATTATAACTTATATTTATGGAAGGTGTCAATTAAAGCTCGTAAATTCTCAATTGAAATGCCAACTGGTATAACACAAACGGTACCCTACAGTACCACTTAACCCGCTTAGTTTTTGGATGCCAGTGTTTTCCCCTTAATTATGAAAATAGGAAAATCACGTAGATTTATACGAAAAATATGGACAAAACAACAATGGTGATTAGGGGTGGAAATTGGGGTGGGTGTGGTTATCCGCTTCACATTTTGCGGGTAGCCACACCCACAAATTTACAATTATGTTACCCACAACCCGTACCGCAGTGGTTAGTGGGTAACCACTACCCACTGTGGGTTTTTGCGGGTTGGGTGTGGTTACCCGCAAAAATCCATCTTTGCAAGCATAGAGTTCTAGTCGCAACTAACTTATTTGTTGTTCGTAACTAGATTATAGTGATATACACTTGTGTTGTTCGTGGAGATACAATTTTGTACATCGATCTTACTCAACGTGGAGATTTTTCTTTTGAGTTTGGTATTCAGCTTTTGTGTCAGAGAGCTGTGATTTCATATTTCCCCGACTAGGGGTGAAATATGACAATTAAATATGATCTTGTATTTTTTCGCACAAAAGAAAAAGCATACTAATAAAAGTTATAAAAGGTGTTCACTTTTGATGAATTGATTATTCTCCTTTCTATAGATTATAGTCTTTATAAACTAAAAAATTCTTACATAAAACTGATTAGGTGTGTCTTTCTTATTTGGTGGCTACTTTAATTTTTATCCTCGCACTTTTCAGATACTATTATATTATAAAGTTAATTTACTAAATAAATATAATTAGTGTGGTTATTGTGGATTTTGTGGGTTATCGGCGGTGGATAGTGGATAACCACTAACCACAAAAATCGTTAGTTTACTACCCACACCCAACCCACTACCCACAACTTGTGGGTATGGTTACCCACAATAGGTGCGGGTTGGTGCGGTTTGCGGATTATCCACAACCCGCAACCCAAACTTCCACCCTCTAATGGTGATCATATCGCCAACACAGAGCAAGGAATAATAATGTTCGGGAACTGGAATTATAAGGCAAGTGGCCATTGTAGAC